AGAGAGAGAGAAAGAGAGAGAGAGAGAGAGAGAGAGAGAGAGAGAGAGGGTGCTGCCTTGACCACAATGGACAAAGAGATCATTCAGTCATACAGTAAACTACACTATAAAATGTTTATTGCATATTATTCAATTGCTGGGTTTCAAGCCAACTATATGCAGATTTAGAATTTGCACTTAAAGAACATATGAATGGAAATTATTGATATGCACACAAAAATCCATATTAAAGTTAATGCACAGATGTATTTTCTGGAAGTTATAATGTGCTGGAAACAGGTGATTTTTCTACATAAACTTTGGCATGTTTGGACCATTTGGACACTAAAGATGAGGCGATGTACTGCAAAGTTGACAGGTTTCGTACAGTTAATCCAAGAACGAAACTCGGAAGTTTTTAACCCACTATTGCTCAAAATATGGAGGCCACTGGTGTTCATTATGTAAGCTATTGCATTCATTCTGTGCTAAAGATAATACACATAATGTAGACTACAGAAGCATGCAATCTTTTGTTGACATTTCAAATATGTGCTTTAAAAATGCTGAACTCAGCTAGTATTCAAGGTCTTATGGTTATTCCGATAATTAAGATCATACAATGCAGCATGATCTGTTTTTTTTTGTTTTGTTTTGTTTTTTTCATGCAGAATGATACAACTCTAAATACTTTACTCTAAATTTTTCTTAATAAAGTAAAATTTCTAAATAAATGTTTTCTTCTGTGATGTAAATCAGAGTGATTATTGGAAAAGAAAAAAAGTTAAGTACCTGGAATGCATTTTCCAAAAGCATCATTAATCAATTAAAGTTACAAGTTCCGTCTTTACTAACATAGTTAAACGATTTGTGTTTCCCAAACTATAGTTCAAATGAACATTCACGAATGGCATTACAAATACAGTATGTGTGGTTGAAACTACAGCTTTCGGCGTGTGGTTAAAAGTATAGTTCCCTATCGATACTATACTCGTACCGCATCTTGCTAGACGCTATGTGAAAAAGTCCTTTTTTCTCCTGAATTGAAGCCTTTTTCAATCACGCAGTGAAACTGCACGGCCATTGGTTCGTGCAGTATATTTTAAAAACGAACCAATGGCTCGGCAGCGGTGCTGCATGAACCTATGGCCGCGAAGCCCGCCAAAGCCTGCTAGAATGGGCAGAATCATCTGGTTATATAAGCGGCCACTTCGCCATAGGATTCAGATTTCTTCTCCTTCAGCGACAACAACGTTCTTCACGGTCTCCGCTGACTGAAGAGCCTGCTCGCCGTTGACACGCCTTGAGGTGGAGACACTTCGGGCAGCATGACAGTGGTGTCCTACATAAATCGCCAGGGGGGACTGAAAAGGCTCCTTGAACTAGTAGAGCGCCTCTTGGAATGGGCCCAGCTCAACCTATGTTCGCTGAGAGCAGCACACGTTCCGGGCAAACTGAACCAGGGAGAGTTGCCGCAAAGCAAGGTCCCCTCAGAGGAGTGGATGCTTCATCAGCAGACGGTTCAGAAAATTTGGGAAATTTTCAGCAGGGCGGAAGTAGACCTCTTTGCCTCAGAAGACAATTCTCACTGCCCAATCTATTATTCCAGGGACAAGGATGCGTTGGCCCACGACTGGCCCAACTTCCTTCTCTACGCTTTTCCCCCGGTCGCCCTGAGGGAACAGAAACGCAAAGTGCTCCCGGTGGCCCAGCTCTGAAAAAATCAGTTTTTGTTTGGCAGAGCTGTCGCAGCTGCTAATAGCAGCCCTGTGGCCTATTCCCCTGAGGCGAGATCTCTCCCAGGCGAACAGGACAATATGGCACCCCAGGCCAGAGCTGTGGGCCTTGCACCTGTGGCCACTCGACGGGAGCCTGTTAGTCTCCCAGAGTGTGTATTGAACACCATTTCTCAGGCTAGAGCTCCAGCTACAAGATGCCTCTACGCCCTTAAATGGTCAGTGTTCTCCGCCTAGTGCTCAAACCGCGGCGGGGACCTGCTCACTTGTGACGTATTGATGATACTGTCCTTCCTGTAGGAGCTGTTGGATAAGGGATGCTCCCCATCCACGCTCAAGGTCTATGTGGCAGTGATAGCGGCTTCTCATGCCCCTATAGCGGGCCAATCGGTAGGCAGGAACTACCTCGTTGTTCATTTTCTGAGGGGAGCCAGGAGGCTAACTCCGCCCCGTCCTCTCACTGTCCCTACATGGGACCTGCCCACTGTTCCCTTCGAGCCACTGCAGTCCGTCGACCTCCGGTCCCTGTCGTTTAAAACTGCTCTGCTACTAGCATTAGCATTGGTCAAGCGAGTGGGGGATTTGCAGGCACTCTCTGTAAGCCCTAATTGCCTGGAGTTCGGGCCTGGCGACTCCAAGGTCATCCTGAAACCAAGGCATGGCTATATACCTAAGGTGCTCTCGACTTCATTCAGAGCACAGATCATCAACCTCTCTGCCCTTCCTCCATCAGAAGAGGACCAAGAGTTGAATATACTCTGCACCAATAGGGCTCTGAAGGTTTACATTGAGCGTTCCGCCCAGTTTAGGCAGTCGGAACAGCTCTTTGTTTGCTTTGGTGGCCGCGCTAATGGACACCCGGTCACGAAGACTTTCTAAGTGGATAATTGGTGCTATTCTGCTAGCATTCTCTTCCTTGGGCCTACAATGCCCCGTTGGGAGTACGAGCCCACTCAACTAGAGGCATCACCTCTTTGGGGGCGTGGTCTGGCGGCGTGACCATTGCAGAAATTTGTGCGGCGGACGGCTGGGCCTCGCCGTCCACTTTTGCTAGGTTCTATAACCTGGATGTCCCTGCAGTCTTCTGGAATGATCAGTCGGCTGGGTGAGGCCTTTGTGAGGCTTAGCCCGTTAGCCTGGAGGGATTTATTGTTCTTGTTCTCTTGGGCCCTGAGGTGCCGAGGACAAGGATTACCATTGTTGTTCTTCTGCCACGGCATCGGCGTGATTGTACTGTTCCCATAGCGTCTAGCAAGATGCAGTACGAGTGTAGTATTGATAGGGAACGTACTCGGTTACAAACATAACCTCGGTTCCCTGAGAATCGCTTCAGTCGAAGTAACCTGAATCATATGGCGAAGCGGCCGTTTATATAGCCAGATGATTCCGCTCATTCTGGCAGGCTTTGGCGGGCTTCGCGGCCATAGGTTCGTGCAGAACAGCTGCCGAGCCATTGGTTCATTTTTAAAATATACTGCACGAACCAATGGCCATGCAGTTTCACTGCGTGATTGAAAAAGGCTTCAGTTCAGGAGGAATTTTTCCCATAGCGTCTAGCAAGACGCAGTACTCGTTCCCGTATTTCAGGGAACCGAGGTTACGTTTGTAACCGAGTACATTTCTTGTTAGTACGACATGTGGACTTACATGATCATGATCATCTTAGCAGACATGCAAACATGCAGTAATACACTAGTTTCACAATTTGAGTTGAATTACTGAAATAAATGAACTTTTCCACGACACAACCCCGGAGGTTTCAAACTAAAGCGGGGTCTGCAGCGTTTTCAAAAGTCGACCTTGAAAACGCCGGAATAGTGTAAACGACAGGCGTAACCATAGCAAAAGTTATGCGTTTTAAAACTAAAACGCACTAGAGTAAACGAGGCCTTAGTGTGTCAACAATCAGTGCCAATTTGAATGATGCTGATTAAATGATGAATAGCCTACGAGAGTGTGACAGTTACATACTGCATGTAAGCGTGATTTAAAAAAAAAGACTTTCAGTTGTTTTGTGTAAAATAACTATCTGACATTAATTGCAATCATTAACGTAATTAACAACAGCCCTATACTGTTGAAACAACGTGGTTTAAGCAAAAGAGGTGTGACCATGTTACTATACAGTAGTTTCAGAAAACAGTCACAACTAGCTAGCTAATTTCTCGTGTTGTATCATACTATGGTAGTTAAGCAGTGAGAAAGAAACTGCCAACAAACCGTACAGATCTGGTCAGACCTTGCCAGGGTCTCCAACACTGTGAAAATCAAACATTTGTAACCCTCTTCTCATATACTGTACATATACATACGCACTTTGCTCAACTATGTATATTTCAGCCCCACTCTTTCTTATAGTTAAATCACTCCTGTAAACCTCAGGTTCACTTCACAGCTTCTGGTTTTTATTCTGCTGTTTTTCTACTGAAAACAGACCTGTGTACATTCTACTACTTTGCATGATTTGTAACTCCAAAAACAGTCATGACACTCAGCCCACAGCTGATCAACCGCCAGAGAGCATGCTGCACTGCCAGCTGGGAGTTTTCCTGCCCCGGGCGCTCGCGCATTAAAGATTCCCAGCAATTCACATGGTGCAAGGTCAGACACAGGTCACTGAAGATAAAACCTCACTCTGAAGTTTGTGACAGACACAGCAGATATAGACCTGAATTTATGAGAACCTCCAACCTACTATTATGAAGCATGAATCTGGTTTCTCCAAGAAAAGTTCTGGACCAAAATCATTAACATGGCTATTCTTGCAGTGATTATCTTGTTGCTAGCTATGATCTTGTCAGTCCAAGATAGCCATGTTCTCAGAGAAAAGCCTTAAATAAACAAGCACAGTGAAGGTGGATCACAGAATGGTTAAACTCACCTCTGCTGCTATTGTCTTCATCCTGAAAGAGAGAGAAGATAAAAGAGTGTTAAAAATGTTTCAAAGACATTCATGAAATCAAGAGCTTTGTGGGACTGGAATCATGTTCCATTTGAAGTGTAATCCTACTGAGACAATTAATAAATAAGTCTGTGAACAAATGTTATTTAGGCCCAATCCCAATTCTATTTTATATCTCACTCTAAAAAGAGAAACTCTCATCTCTCTCTCTCTCTCTCTCTCTCTCTCTCGAATTGGCAATATTTGAGGAAAGGATTTAGAGATTTCTAATTATTGAGGGGACTAGCCCCCCTCAATGTCTACGGTGGTTATCGCCCTGATCAGACATTAAAATATGTTGTGGCACTATCGTGCAGTCTATAATGATATGACATTAGCAAATATTAGCGATTTTTTGCAAACATTTCTTTGAGTAACATGACCGTAAATATGAACTCACAATTGAATGTAACATAAAACAAATGATTACTTTAAGTTAAAATCTTTATTAATGCCAAAAATTCTTACATTTATCTGTATTTTTGTTTGCTCGGGCAGCCATGTTGCCCCTGAAGCCGGTTTACACTGAGATAATTCATACCCCTTCATTTGAAGTGTGGTCACGTAAAATTTTTGTTTGAAGGGCTGTCTGGCCCTTCCCCTTACCCCTACCCCTCCGACCATAAGAGAATTGAGACACCCCTACCCCTTCACGTGAACGCACGAAACGGAGGGGTAAGGGAAAGGGGAAGGGCTAAGGGGTAGAATTGGGATTGGGCCTTAGTCTCAGATCCTTCATTTGAGCACTTTTTTAAAACATAGTTAAACATTCCAGAAAACTTTAAAGTGACAACAAATTAAAATAAATAAATACATTCATACATTAAATATGTACTACTGTTCAAAAGTTTGGGGTCACAAAGATGTTTTAATGTTTTTGAAAGAATTATCTTATGCTCATCAAGGCTGCAATTATTTGATGGAAATACAGTAAAGAAAATATTGTGAAATATTATTACAATTTAACATAATGTATTCCTGTGATGGGGAATCTGAAATTTCAGCAGTCATTACTCCAGTCTTCATTGTCACATGATCATCATGAAATTATTAATTTGAACAATGAAAAATTTTATTAAAAATGTATAATAGTATTAAAAATCCTAATCCAATCAAATCTTATTGGATGGATCAAGTCCGGACACCCAACAGTTTGTTTTACTTGGAAACATTACTGAAGTTAAATGTGTTACAAAAACTGTTTAATGTTGCAAGAAAAAGTAATCTCACTTTTATGTGTCAAACAGATTACTGTGAATCACATGTTTGCTAACAGTAACTAAACTGTAAGGAAGCAGTATCTAAAGCAGCTGATGGTGACAGCATTATCTAGATGCTCCATTACCGCCGACTGGTGATGGTGAGAGAACAGAGCGTTTTAATCTCTTCATGGGGATCATGTAGTTTTTTGACTATTGCCATAAAGTCAGGTCAACTTCATAGCTTAGTGTGTCCACAAAACAGCCTTCTGACCAACATCGTGTTAATCATCCATTTATGTTTAGGAGCAGAACAATCTGAAAATCTGAAATACTGAGATCTCAAGGATAAACTGTGTGTCAATAGGTGTCTCAAACTAAATTCTGAACATATTTGAGTTGATGCCTCTATCTTGGCAAACCTGGCAAATCCAGTGATTAGTTCTTCCTTGGAAGTGCTTATTGTAGCAGCCTGGGAACTTTTCCACGTAAATATGTGCAACCAGATATACAATAATTGTGTAAATCTAGACAAACAGATAAGACCCCGACTTTTTTTGCAGCTTGTATTTGCCATTTTTGTGAGCAAGATGCATTAGATGGTGTGTTAACGGTCCACAGGCATGCCATCAGAAGAGGAGACTTGGCAGCCTACTGTCCACTTTGGGTTGGACTCATCTTTTTACCCCATGCTCATAGACCACCCCACAGTTCATTCACTGTCTGATGCATACTATACATAAATGGCTGACTTGATGCAACTTCTAGGAGTTTGGCTAGTGTGCAAGTCATGATTAAAATGTACCGAAATGCTATGCTCAACAACTTTGAAGATCTTAGAGATAATAAACTAGAAATAATATAAATGTGACCCTGGAAAACCAGTCATAAGTAGCACAGGTATATTTGTAGCAATAGCCAAAAATACATTGTATGGGTCAAAATTATTGATTTTTCTTTTATGCCAAAAATCATTAGGATATTAAGTAAAGATTATGTTCCATGAAGATATTTTGTAAATTTCCTACCGTAAATATATAAAAACTTAATTTTTGATTAGTAATATGTAGGGATGCACCGATACCACTTTTTCCAGTACTCCTAAGTGAGTGAACATCAAAGATCACACAACAGACGTGCACGCGCTCTCTCTCTCCCGTTAAGTAACTTGTGCATTGTTTTACTTACTTGTTTTTGACATATCCGACCGAACTACAAGCTTTGTCTGTGAGAAAGGTATATTCACTCGACAAGCTTGCGCATCTGCGCCGCCGCGCGCTCAATTTGCTTATCAGCTCACGCACATCAGCTATACAGGCATTAATACTGAATGTTTAACATTATATTCATTACATACATATACTTCGTTTACATCCTTAATCTCTAATAACTCCATTCTGCTGTCTGTTGTCGGTGTTTCTTTGTCTGAATATGGTGCTTATCACATGCTGTGTGGTATCGGCGTTTGGTATCGGGGCATTTTATCGAGTACGAGTACAAGTACAGGAGACCAGTATCGGGCCCGATACCGATACCAGTATCGATATCGGTGCATCCCTAGTAATATGCATTGCTAAGAACTTCATTTGGACAACTTTAAAGGTGATTTTCTCAATATTTTGCACCCTCAGATTCCAGACTTTCAAATAGTTTTATCTCGGCCAAATATTGCCCTATCATAACAAATCACACATCAATGGAAAGCTTATTCGTTCAGCTTTAAGATGATGCATAAATCTCAATTTTAAAAAATTTACCCTTATGACTGGCTTTGTTGCCCAGGGTCACAAATGGCAATTAAAAACTACGAAAACAGTGGTTGGTCACATTAAATGTTGGTCAGATAGTTTCTTTCATAATAAAGTGAACCAGAATTTTGAGTAGAACTAACTATCTACAAATGATGCACCAAAATTTTGGCAACAGAAAATATTTAGCCAAAAACACATTTTTGGTTTTGACCAAAACTGTTTTGGAGGGCTGAAATCATTCACCGAAACTGTGAACATTGGGACTGGATTGACAATACTGATTTCTCAATTTGACAATACTGACTTTCATTTTGATGAACCAATGAAGAATCTTAAATATTAAGATTAATCTAGTTTTCAGCTGATGCATGAAATCAAACTTCACTAAACATTATTTGTAACGCACATGCCATCCAATTATTGCAATAAGCTTTGTTCTTCACTACTTCTGATATGAAACAAAGTCTCAGTTTTCACATTTTGTCAATTTTATAACAACATTTTGAAATGTATGTCAAAATTCAAATGATTTGACACTCTTTAATGTGACTTGATAGATTTCTATAGCCACACCAATCCTCAGTAAAGCATTTCAATGTCCATATTGTTAGTTAAATAACGGTAGTATTTGCAAAATGCATGCACTATATTACATTCATTATAGTGACGTCGTTATTTAATGCAATTTAAATCTATCATGAAATCAAGCTTTTATTACAGTCTGTTTATATTGCAATGAATTGGAGTAGAAACATAATTATATCATTAAACCATTGATATAAAAACTGCCTTATGTGCAATTTAAATGTTATACAACTCAGTTTTATTTGATTGCTGATTATTACATATTTTTGATTAGTTAACCAATGATTAAATGCACTTTATTTTCAGTTTTCGGCTAAATGAAAATGCTTTGGTTTCAGTATAAAAATTAATTTCAGTGTTTCACTGCTTCCAAATGTATCTCATAATGTGGCATATAGTTTACAACAGGCTTGACAGCAGCTGACGAGCGTTTCCAATAGGGTCCCATAAAAATTGGATAAGCTGACATAAATAGCACTTTTGAGACTGGACGGCTTTAACACTGCAGTGGAATATGCTGAGATACTTATTTCTACAACCCACAGTCGAGTACAATGAGAAATGCTGAGAAACACATAAAGCAGCACTACATGTTATGAGGCCCGGTAGATGCTATTTTTTCCCCTGAGATGCAAACATCATACATTTCCCTATTAGTGTATGAGGAAAAGCACTAAAAGGTAAGCATTTCGATTTAAGCATGTCTCTGAAGCTAAATGATGTTTAGAGAGGAAGTAAACTGACAAAACCAATTGACCCAATGATCTGGACTGCACTTCTTTGTATGTTTGCTGTGGGCTGACCTTGAGAGAGGATTGCACGGCTGACTCGGGTGGGTACACGATGAAGTGACGGAGAGTGAAGCCAAAGCCGTGAGATGTACGGCATAGGTGCAATGTTTTAGGCCCTGGCCATGAGAAGTGCTCCTCTTCAGCGGTCGGAGACAGAGCCGATGCCTCGCTGCACTCACAACCATCCTTTTGTTTAGCCTGAGAAAGAGAACAAACACTGTTAATTAGTCATTCAGATACTTTTATCCAAAGTGGCAGCACACTAATTACAGAGACAATCCACTCAGAGGAAATTGAGGTGAAGTCTTTGACTCAAAGGCCCTACATTTATCCTGAAGCTCTACGGTCAATTCTTACAGTTCCCATTATTCAGATATTTAACCACCCATCGACACAACCTGTTTGAGTCAGCTTACAGCAGGCCGTGTAAATATATATTTAAGGTTAAGTGAACAATTATTTATTATTTCACAGAACAACTCTCTACACACATATTCAAAAAAGTGTTTGTTTTTTTCCCCTCTATTTAAACCACTAAAATTTTAAGTATAGGCACTTTTGGATAATGGTTACACTTTTTTCAGATTTTTTAAAGTAACTTTCTGTATAAACATAAACCAGCTCAAATATTAATAATGGTTTACAGATTTTGGTAACCATTATGGTAACCATGATATGTTTTTCAGGATTATTTGATGAACAGTTTTAAATAATACATTTAAAACGTTTTTTTTTAAATCTTTGTAATGGTAGTGCATCACATTTCCTCACTGATAACATTGATAACAATAAGAAATGTTTACTGACCAAATATTTAAATCAGCATATTAAAATGATTTCTGAACGATCATGTGCGACTGAAGACTGGAGTAATGACTGCTGAAAATTCAGCTTTGCATCACAGGAATAAATTACATTTTAAAATATAATAACATAGAAAACACTGATTTTAAAATGTAACAATATTTCACAATATTTACTGCATTTTTATCAAATAAATGCAGCTTTGGTAAACATAGACTTCTTTTAAAAAAATTATGTTCAAATATACCATACATCATTATAGTTGTAGGAATATGCCATTGTTTTATTGTTTACACAACATATGATGACAGTAAAATTTTAGCCTGGAGGATAAAAGTCACAAAAACATCACTAAGGAGAACAAGCTTTTGTGTGATTAGACACTTGAGCACAATCCTTGTTACTGACCCTTGTAATAATGTGACAACTGACCCGTCTCACCTATGATGAAGAGCACTTCTCTTTTCACAATTTACAAATGGTTCTGCACTTTATTTTGCCACATATGCAGTATAATATTGTTGTCAAATCAAGGAAGGGTCAAAAGAATTTAAAGAGTATGATCTCCAGAGGGTCTTTCCTAATCTGCTTGACCCAAAACCGACATGGTAATCAGTAAGAGTGAAAAAGAACGGAAAGAATCTCAACATTGCACAAAGCACTCTCTGTCCCAATGCAGCAGCAAAACCTTTGCCTTTTTAACCTGGCACATCAGCACTCACATTGAGTATTTGTATGCATATTAGTGTACCACATCATTAGCTTAGCAACATGCTAATATCTGACTCGATATTAATTAACTGTGAAGTTAAGTCTCCCATGTGTTTAATTTTCGACACGCTGTTAGATGGTTAAATTGTTACCTTAAAAATCAGCAAGGCAGCTCACTAAGTTTTGGAACAGAGCTCCTGTGCCTTGTTATCATGTCATTCATATGGTATCTGAAAACAATGGGTTTCTCTTAAGGGCAGAAGGTATAGAAACAGAGTATCCTGTGAGTGTTTATAAAGCATCGCTGACATGATTTTACACTTCTCAAATATCTGCCATGACAATGACGGTCACACAGAAAATGCTCTGAGTCAACTCAGACATTTCTTTCCTATGATCAATGACCAACACATAGGCCTACTGTATGTACATACCACGTACATCACGACACAATCTGTGGGGGGTTTTTTGACACCCATATCACTAACGTTCTACTGGTTATGTCACATTGTAGCATCTGGGCCGGTGACGTCAGGCCGTCCTCCGTATCCTCCTAGGAAATGTGTGTCAATTACAATATGAAATAATGGCAGTAGAATCTCATTCCGTCACAGGGTTTGTGTTTGTGGTGGGCTCTGACAACACCACACTGACTCTGGGTCACTCTGGCTGCCAAACAGACCAGACTGTGGTCTAGCCCTGCAGGAGATGGATGTATTATAAGGGAATGGATGTATTTTAGCTTGTGGCTGGGCTCAGGTACAGACAGCTGTGGACGTCTCTAGAGTCTGGGCTGGGCTGGGCTTTTACATAACTGAGCTTGAAAATGACATCACTGGGATTTAAATCACTTACATCCAGTGTTGGACACAGTCCACTGCAAAATCTCACAAAGAAATGGGTAGAGAAGTTTGGGATACTAGTAGGCTATGTAGTGTAGTAAGCAATATGCATCTTGTGCATAGTGATTTCTGTATGATTTTACACATCCTTCTTGTTCAATTATTTGAGTCACTGACAAACAGTGAGACATTTTCACAGGTATTAGTCTAGATTTCTTCACACAACATATTCTTGAGCTCAATTTTGGAACTTTTTTTATACGGAATCATTCCATATAATTATACAGTTATGTGAAGGTCCACCTGTGAATGCTACCTTGAATCATACACGTGGTTTTCCAAAAATACCCACTATAACATCACAACATTCCTCTGCCTTTCATTTTTCATTTCCCTACCATTAACCAGTCATATTCTCTATGTGGTGGGCACACAACCCTGTTTCCAATGCTAAATTTAACCTGTTAAATTATACATCTGGAAAAAGCTCGCGTCTGAATGGCGGAAAGTCCAAGAGAAGTGAATGGCTGTCCTGTGTGAGACTCCTCCTCACCAGAAACAGCATCATACAAACCATCCAGTCCATCAAAGAGCATGAATAATACACACAATCCCATTGGTCATTGGTTACATTTAAGATCCAATCACATGCTCTGATTTCAGTAGCACGTGCATCTGTTTTTTTTAAGTTCCAGTTACATTGGGACTTGTAATACCAGAAAAGTTGGCATGACAAATTTAGCCAAGCTATGGTTCAGCCTTCCAATCTGGAGGATCTCATTTGTTTGTCTAGAAAGCAATGCGATTACATTGACGGTTTCAGATGTCACCTGTTTTTTAATATTTCTCTTGAAAAGAAAAGACCCTAGCAATATGACATTCATTAGAGATCTTAACATGGTCTCAAAATCGTATACCAAAAACTTATCTCAAAATGAACTCAAACGTTCTTCATCAAATTCTTCAAAGACAAAACGATTCATTTTATAGCTCTATTCCCCTACTGTCAACAACTGTCTCAACTGTCTATTTTTTATTTCTCTTGAGGAACGTAAGGCGAAACATCTGAGACAAGGTTGATAGTTAGCTAAATGAAAAACTTAAATCCATTTCAGTGAAGTCTCCTGAGATGTGACAGAGCAACCTCTAAGCAAACATTTTCTTGCAAATGTTGTCATGACAAAATGCATGTGCGTCCTGTAGTTATGGCAAGCGTGAGTCACTCTTTAGCCACAGTGGAGCTCCCTGCAAACACAGAAATATCTTGCTTTCCCAAACACACACACTTTTCCAAACATAAAAACAACGTAGCCACAACTCTGTTATCCAAGTGAAACAATTATCCACTGGGTTAGGTTAAAACGTGAGAAATTACCCATCCAAAGTCTGTTCAATCCCAAGGTTGCTCTACTCGGACGGTTGCTTACATAGGAACAATAACTGAAACGTGAAACCAGGGCACGTACACACAGTCTTCTTGCTGTGAAAAATATGTTACATGTTGGCTCAATGCAGGAGACCTAACCAACCACCCTGGACGTCAGTGACGCACAATGCATTCCTGAGAGCCATCTCCTCACCCCCCTTCAGCCCCGCGTAACTCAATATGCTGCTGGGAGCCCCTGCCAATGTGAAAACCCTCCATCCCGCTGCAGCACCAGACTGTCACAATGAACCCATCTTCTCCTGTTTAGTTCTGCTACTCTTAACCTACAGCAGATCCACAGATTCTTACCCAAGACCGCATGCAGTTCATCTGAGATGTCTTCTTCAATTTTCGCCAAGAGACGCCCTTCTGGGCCTCCCGAAGCCCCAGTTCCACATCCCCCCAGTATGCCCTGGCCAGGAGCTGGAACCAAAGGCAGGAAGTGTCCGATAAACAGCCGTCTACCCCTGTCAGACAATCCCAGGGACAGTCCCCTATTGAGCAGGAACACCCCGGAACATCCATCTGGTCTGAGCCGTCCTTCCTGGGCAGAAAGCAGTCGGTACACGCCCCATTCCTCTGAGTGAGCATGGCAAAGCCTGCTGGTCCCTGCTATGACTGCTTTCCTCTGCTGATCTTCTGATGATGTGATTCTTTCTTGCTCTTTGCGATCCCTCCCTCTCTCTCTTCCTCTCTCTTTCAGAGTGGGAAGGAGTGCACATGCATGAGGTTTCCATTGAGACACGGAGCACGTCAGGGAGAGAGTGAAGCAGGGAAAGAGACCGTCAGAGCTCAAACCAGTGTACCGCAAGCACAAACATCTGTCTGCGCTGGACAAGATGCCTTTCTCTTCTTACATACAATGTTTCTTATTTGATTGTTCTCCATTGCTCAAATGCAAAGCTACTATACTGCCGGTCTCAAATGTACCTCTAACCCTGAGAATTTGGGATGTAACTCATCCTGAATCATTTGTGCAACAGAACATAAATGATAATAGTGTGAGTCTGACTTATGGTTTACAAGGCTAGAACAGACTTAGCGGTAGGCTCTTTTGGCTTGGGCCAGTAAACAACCACACAGAACACCCTAGCAACCACTTAACAATGCACTGAAAGTCACCTAGAACATACTAGCATTGGAAAGGCAATTGTTACACAGAAGAGTAACACACTTCTCACCAGAAGATGGCATCCACAGCGGAATTATAAAAGTCAGGGGTACTCAAGGAGCAGGGTTGGGAACCACTGAGAATGGTTATGAAAAACTAAGACCTTTTTTATCTTTAGTGTGTAATATATCTGTCTGTGCTTGTAAATGATCTGCAAAGTTACAAAACACAAAGGTAATCTCTCAAGCAGAAAAAAACTTGACTGAAATGCCTTGTTTGTAGTCCTGCCATTATTTCTGTGACT